GGGTAAGATTAATGTCTTAAACCTGTATTAACCGTGTTGATTTTTTTTCTCTCATCTCACTTGAAGCAGATTGTGACCTCTCTTGATGTCTTGTCTTTCTACTGTAGATATGCAGTGTGATGCAGCCCTCTATCCCCAGGGGTGTGAAGAGGAGACTGCCAAGCCAAGGATGGTAAGATGCATTGTGCACGCCTCCCGCTCTGTGGAGTTTCTTCATTTCTACTGTTTTCATTGGTCTAAGCACACTTGTTTGACTACTGCACATTTGCTGTTAACAGGTCCTGGTTTGGCTGTTCTGGATCCAGAGTGCGGACTGCGGCCTGCCGGAAGAAGTGCAAAGGGTTCAGGGATACACTGCGGCCAACCCAAGCATTGGAGGTAATGAGACTTGCAGTCTGTATACTCCTTGCACTCTGTGGACTTTTGTTACTCGTTCCTTGTTGCGGGTGTGTTACTCGGGCTTTGACCTGTAGACATCTTTGTTAACAGGTACGGGGGTTGGACTGGTCTGGTTCCGTGGAAGAAGAGCAGACCGTCACCTGCAGGCAGCAGTTGTGTGATGGAGTGGGGTCAATCCCTGACGTGCAGGTAAGACGCAATGTACTCATCTTGCACTGTGTGCACTTTCATTACTGTGTGTTTGTGTTAAGGATATCTTAACTCAGCTGTTTGCACTGGGTGAATTCTTGTAACTCGACGAAGTTGTTTTGATGTCTTGGTTTTGCTTTATTAGCCGAAGAGGAGGTGTCTGCCGACCCGGACGGATCCCAACTGCAGTCAAGTAGAGAAGAGGAGGTAAGATTCACACTCTACTTGTTGCAGCTTTTCATGATCTTTTCCTTGCCAATGGATGTTGATCGTATCAGCCTTTGACCTCTTGACTTCCAATTGACAGGATGCACAGCAAACAGCAGAGCCCAGCAGAGCCCAGCAGAAGTCCAGGATCCAATTCCGCAACCAGGAAGCCTAATAGAGAAGCTTTTTGAATTTATTTCCTTCTGTCTCTTCTTCTCTTCTCTGTCTCCTAAACACTTCCCCTAATCTAACATAACTAACCATCCCCCCCCTTCCCCTCAATCCCCCTTTATGCCCTTTCCTGATCTAACTGTCTTCATCTGCTAACTTGTTTTTCAACTTATTTTGTTGTGAATTTCTGTGCTTTGTTTCACTGTTTTGAATTTTTACTAATCTCTTCTCAGTTGTATATTTTCAGGGACCCGGACGAGGGACGACGCCGAAGCAGCCAGCCGCCCAGCCCACAGACGGAGACGACCCCATTGCCCAGCCCTGTCTAGCGGCCAACATTGGCCAAAGCGGTGAGTAACAGGCTGCTTTTGTAGCACTTCTGGATTCCTGTTTTGCATTATAACTTGATCAGAGCAGCTAGGGTGCTCCTTTGACCTCCTGACTTTGTGTGTTTTCAGGAGCGTCGATCCCACTGAGACGTACAGCAGCACTCTGGAGAGCAGGGATCGACTGCCACCGCTCATTGAAGAGAGGGTAAGATTCATGTCTTAAACCTGTATTAACCGTGTTGATTTTTTTTCTCTCATCTCACTTGAAGCAGATTGTGACCTCTCTTGATGTCTTGTCTTTCTACTGTAGATATGCAGTGTGATGCAGCCCTCTATCCCCAGGGGTGTGAAGAGGAGACTGCCAAGCCAAGGATGGTAAGATGCATTGTGCACGCCTCCCGCTCTGTGGAGTTTCTTCATTTCTACTGTTTTCATTGGTCTAAGCACACTTGTTTGACTACTGCACATTTGCTGTTAACAGGTCCTGGTTTGGCTGTTCTGGATCCAGAGTGCGGACTGCGGCCTGCCGGAAGAAGTGCAAAGGGTTCAGGGATACACTGCGGCCAACCCAAGCATTGGAGGTAATGAGACTTGCAGTCTGTATACTCCTTGCACTCTGTGGACTTTTGTTACTCGTTCCTTGTTGCGGGTGTGTTACTCGGGCTTTGACCTGTAGACATCTTTGTTAACAGGTACGGGGGTTGGACTGGTCTGGTTCCGTGGAAGAAGAGCAGACCGTCACCTGCAGGCAGCAGTTGTGTGATGGAGTGGGGTCAATCCCTGACGTGCAGGTAAGACGCAATGTACTCATCTTGCACTGTGTGCACTTTCATTACTGTGTGTTTGTGTTAAGGATATCTTAACTCAGCTGTTTGCACTGGGTGAATTCTTGTAACTCGACGAAGTTGTTTTGATGTCTTGGTTTTGCTTTATTAGCCGAAGAGGAGGTGTCTGCCGACCCGGACGGATCCCAACTGCAGTCAAGTAGAGAAGAGGAGGTAAGATTCACACTCTACTTGTTGCAGCTTTTCATGATCTTTTCCTTGCCAATGGATGTTGATCGTATCAGCCTTTGACCTCTTGACTTCCAATTGACAGGATGCACAGCAAACAGCAGAGCCCAGCAGAGCCCAGCAGAAGTCCAGGATCCAATTCCGCAACCAGGAAGCCTAATAGAGAAGCTTTTTGAATTTATTTCCTTCTGTCTCTTCTTCTCTTCTCTGTCTCCTAAACACTTCCCCTAATCTAACATAACTAACCATCCCCCCCCTTCCCCTCAATCCCCCTTTATGCCCTTTCCTGATCTAACTGTCTTCATCTGCTAACTTGTTTTTCAACTTATTTTGTTGTGAATTTCTGTGCTTTGTTTCACTGTTTTGAATTTTTACTAATCTCTTCTCAGTTGTATATTTTCAGGGACCCGGACGAGGGACGACGCCGAAGCAGCCAGCCGCCCAGCCCACAGACGGAGACGACCCCATTGCCCAGCCCTGTCTAGCGGCCAACATTGGCCAAAGCGGTGAGTAACAGGCTGCTTTTGTAGCACTTCTGGATTCCTGTTTTGCATTATAACTTGATCAGAGCAGCTAGGGTGCTCCTTTGACCTCCTGACTTTGTGTGTTTTCAGGAGCGTCGATCCCACTGAGACGTACAGCAGCACTCTGGAGAGCAGGGATCGACTGCCACCGCTCATTGAAGAGAGGGTAAGATTCATGTCTTAAACCTGTATTAACCGTGTTGATTTTTTTTCTCTCATCTCACTTGAAGCAGATTGTGACCTCTCTTGATGTCTTGTCTTTCTACTGTAGATATGCAGTGTGATGCAGCCCTCTATCCCCAGGGGTGTGAAGAGGAGACTGCCAAGCCAAGGATGGTAAGATGCATTGTGCACGCCTCCCGCTCTGTGGAGTTTCTTCATTTCTACTGTTTTCATTGGTCTAAGCACACTTGTTTGACTACTGCACATTTGCTGTTAACAGGTCCTGGTTTGGCTGTTCTGGATCCAGAGTGCGGACTGCGGCCTGCCGGAAGAAGTGCAAAGGGTTCAGGGATACACTGCGGCCAACCCAAGCATTGGAGGTAATGAGACTTGCAGTCTGTATACTCCTTGCACTCTGTGGACTTTTGTTACTCATTCCTTGTTGCGGGTGTGTTACTCGGGCTTTGACCTGTAGACATCTTTGTTAACAGGTACGGGGGTTGGACTGGTCTGGTTCCGTGGAAGAAGAGCAGACCGTCACCTGCAGGCAGCAGTTGTGTGATGGAGTGGGGTCAATCCCTGACGTGCAGGTAAGACGCAATGTACTCATCTTGCACTGTGTGCACTTTCATTACTGTGTGTTTGTGTTAAGGATATCTTAACTCTGCTGTTTGCACTGGGTGAATTCTTGTAACTCGACGAAGTTGTTTTGATGTCTTGGTTTTGCTTTATTAGCCGAAGAGGAGGTGTCTGCCGACCCGGACGGATCCCAACTGCAGTCAAGTAGAGAAGAGGAGGTAAGATTCACACTCTACTTGTTGCAGCTTTTCATGATCTTTTCCTTGCCAATGGATGTTGATCGTATCAGCCTTTGACCTCTTGACTTCCAATTGACAGGATGCACAGCAAACAGCAGAGCCCAGCAGAAGTCCAGGATCCAATTCCGCAACCAGGAAGCCTAATAGAGAAGCTTTTTGAATTTATTTCCTTCTGTCTCTTCTTCTCTTCTCTGTCTCCTAAACACTTCCCCTAATCTAACATAACTAACCATCCCCCCCTTCCCCTCAATCCCCCTTTATGCCCTTTCCTGATCTAACTGTCTTCATCTGCTAACTTGTTTTTCAACTTATTTTGTTGTGAATTTCTGTGCTTTGTTTCACTGTTTTGAATTTTTACTAATCTCTTCTCAGTTGTATATTTTCAGGGACCCGGACGAGGGACGACGCCGAAGCAGCCAGCTGCCCAGCCCACAGACGGAGACGACCCCATTGCCCAGCCCTGTCTAGCGGCCAACATTGGCCAAAGCGGTGAGTAACAGGCTGCTTTTGTAGCACTTCTGGATTCCTGTTTTGCATTATAACTTGATCAGAGCAGCTAGGGTGCTCCTTTGACCTCCTGACTTTGTGTGTTTTCAGGAGCGTCGATCCCACTGAGACGTACAGCAGCACTCTGGAGAGCAGGGATCGACTGCCACCGCTTGTTGAAGAGAGGGTAAGATTCATGTCTTAAACCTGTATTAACCGTGTTGATTTTTTTTCTCTCATCTCACTTGAAGCAGATTGTGACCTCTCTTGATGTCTTGTCTTTCTACTGTAGATATGCAGTGTGATGCAGCCCTCTATCCCCAGGGGTGTGAAGAGGAGACTGCCAAGCCAAGGATGGTAAGATGCATTGTGCACGCCTCCCGCTCTGTGGAGTTTCTTCATTTCTACTGTTTTCATTGGTCTAAGCACACTTGTTTGACTACTGCACATTTGCTGTTAACAGGTCCTGGTTTGGCTGTTCTGGATCCAGAGTGCGGACTGCGGCCTGCCGGAAGAAGTGCAAAGGGTTCAGGGATACACTGCGGCCAACCCAAGCATTGGAGGTAATGAGACTTGCAGTCTGTATACTCCTTGCACTCTGTGGACTTTTGTTACTCGTTCCTTGTTGCGGGTGTGTTACTCGGGCTTTGACCTGTAGACATCTTTGTTAACAGGTACGGGGGTTGGACTGGTCTGGTTCCGTGGAAGAAGAGCAGACCGTCACCTGCAGGCAGCAGTTGTGTGATGGAGTGGGGTCAATCCCTGACGTGCAGGTAAGACGCAATGTACTCATCTTGCACTGTGTGCACTTTCATTACTGTGTGTTTGTGTTAAGGATATCTTAACTCAGCTGTTTGCACTGGGTGAATTCTTGTAACTCGACGAAGTTGTTTTGATGTCTTGGTTTTGCTTTATTAGCCGAAGAGGAGGTGTCTGCTGACCCGGACGGATCCCAACTGCAGTCAAGTAGAGAAGAGGAGGTAAGATTCACACTCTACTTGTTGCAGCTTTTCATGATCTTTTCCTTGCCAATGGATGTTGATCGTATCAGCCTTTGACCTCTTGACTTCCAATTGACAGGATGCACAGCAAACAGCAGAGCCCAGCAGAGCCCAGCAGAAGTCCAGGATCCAATTCCGCAACCAGGAAGCCTAATAGAGAAGCTTTTTGAATTTATTTCCTTCTGTCTCTTCTTCTCTTCTCTGTCTCCTAAACACTTCCCCTAATCTAACATAACTAACCATCCCCCCCTTCCCCTCAATCCCCCTTTATGCCCTTTCCTGATCTAACTGTCTTCATCTGCTAACTTGTTTTTCAACTTATTTTGTTGTGAATTTCTGTGCTTTGTTTCACTGTTTTGAATTTTTACTAATCTCTTCTCAGTTGTATATTTTCAGGGACCCGGACGAGGGACGACGCCGAAGCAGCCAGCCGCCCAGCCCACAGACGGAGACGACCCCATTGCCCAGCCCTGTCTAGCGGCCAACATTGGCCAAAGCGGTGAGTAACAGGCTGCTTTTGTAGCACTTCTGGATTCCTGTTTTGCATTATAACTTGATCAGAGCAGCTAGGGTGCTCCTTTGACCTCCTGACTTTGTGTGTTTTCAGGAGCGTCGATCCCACTGAGACGTACAGCAGCACTCTGGAGAGCAGGGATCGACTGCCACCGCTCGTTGAAGAGAGGGTAAGATTCATGTCTTAAACCTGTATTAACCGTGTTGATTTTTTTTCTCTCATCTCACTTGAAGCAGATTGTGACCTCTCTTGATGTCTTGTCTTTCTACTGTAGATATGCAGTGTGATGCAGCCCTCTATCCCCAGGGGTGTGAAGAGGAGACTGCCAAGCCAAGGATGGTAAGATGCATTGTGCACGCCTCCCGCTCTGTGGAGTTTCTTCATTTCTACTGTTTTCATTGGTCTAAGCACACTTGTTTGACTACTGCACATTTGCTGTTAACAGGTCCTGGTTTGGCTGTTCTGGATCCAGAGTGCGGACTGCGGCCTGCCGGAAGAAGTGCAAAGGGTTCAGGGATACACTGCGGCCAACCCAAGCATTGGAGGTAATGAGACTTGCAGTCTGTATACTCCTTGCACTCTGTGGACTTTTGTTACTCGTTCCTTGTTGCGGGTGTGTTACTCGGGCTTTGACCTGTAGACATCTTTGTTAACAGGTACGGGGGTTGGACTGGTCTGGTTCCGTGGAAGAAGAGCAGACCGTCACCTGCAGGCAGCAGTTGTGTGATGGAGTGGGGTCAATCCCTGACGTGCAGGTAAGACGCAATGTACTCATCTTGCACTGTGTGCACTTTCATTACTGTGTGTTTGTGTTAAGGATATCTTAACTCAGCTGTTTGCACTGGGTGAATTCTTGTAACTCGACGAAGTTGTTTTGATGTCTTGGTTTTGCTTTATTAGCCGAAGAGGAGGTGTCTGCTGACCCGGACGGATCCCAACTGCAGTCAAGTAGAGAAGAGGAGGTAAGATTCACACTCTACTTGTTGCAGCTTTTCATGATCTTTTCCTTGCCAATGGATGTTGATCGTATCAGCCTTTGACCTCTTGACTTCCAATTGACAGGATGCACAGCAAACAGCAGAGCCCAGCAGAGCCCAGCAGAGCCCAGCAGAAGTCCAGGATCCAATTCCGCAACCAGGAAGCCTAATAGAGAAGCTTTTTGAATTTATTTCCTTCTGTCTCTTCTTCTCTTCTCTGTCTCCTAAACACTTCCCCTAATCTAACATAACTAACCATCCCCCCCTTCCCCTCAATCCCCCTTTATGCCCTTTCCTGATCTAACTGTCTTCATCTGCTAACTTGTTTTTCAACTTATTTTGTTGTGAATTTCTGTGCTTTGTTTCACTGTTTTGAATTTTTACTAATCTCTTCTCAGTTGTATATTTTCAGGGACCCGGACGAGGGACGACGCCGAAGCAGCCAGCCGCCCAGCCCACAGACGGAGACGACCCCATTGCCCAGCCCTGTCTAGCGGCCAACATTGGCCAAAGCGGTGAGTAACAGGCTGCTTTTGTAGCACTTCTGGATTCCTGTTTTGCATTATAACTTGATCAGAGCAGCTAGGGTGCTCCTTTGACCTCCTGACTTTGTGTGTTTTCAGGAGCGTCGATCCCACTGAGACGTACAGCAGCACTCTGGAGAGCAGGGATCGACTGCCACCGCTCGTTGAAGAGAGGGTAAGATTCATGTCTTAAACCTGTATTAACCGTGTTGATTTTTTTTCTCTCATCTCACTTGAAGCAGATTGTGACCTCTCTTGATGTCTTGTCTTTCTACTGTAGATATGCAGTGTGATGCAGCCCTCTATCCCCAGGGGTGTGAAGAGGAGACTGCCAAGCCAAGGATGGTAAGATGCATTGTGCACGCCTCCCGCTCTGTGGAGTTTCTTCATTTCTACTGTTTTCATTGGTCTAAGCACACTTGTTTGACTACTGCACATTTGCTGTTAACAGGTCCTGGTTTGGCTGTTCTGGATCCAGAGTGCGGACTGCGGCCTGCCGGAAGAAGTGCAAAGGGTTCAGGGATACACTGCGGCCAACCCAAGCATTGGAGGTAATGAGACTTGCAGTCTGTATACTCCTTGCACTCTGTGGACTTTTGTTACTCGTTCCTTGTTGCGGGTGTGTTACTCGGGCTTTGACCTGTAGACATCTTTGTTAACAGGTACGGGGGTTGGACTGGTCTGGTTCCGTGGAAGAAGAGCAGACCGTCACCTGCAGGCAGCAGTTGTGTGATGGAGTGGGGTCAATCCCTGACGTGCAGGTAAGACGCAATGTACTCATCTTGCACTGTGTGCACTTTCATTACTGTGTGTTTGTGTTAAGGATATCTTAACTCTGCTGTTTGCACTGGGTGAATTCTTGTAACTCGACGAAGTTGTTTTGATGTCTTGGTTTTGCTTTATTAGCCGAAGAGGAGGTGTCTGCTGACCCGGACGGATCCCAACTGCAGTCAAGTAGAGAAGAGGAGGTAAGATTCACACTCTACTTGTTGCAGCTTTTCATGATCTTTTCCTTGCCAATGGATGTTGATCGTATCAGCCTTTGACCTCTTGACTTCCAATTGACAGGATGCACAGCAAACAGCAGAGCCCAGCAGAAGTCCAGGATCCAATTCCGCAACCAGGAAGCCTAATAGAGAAGCTTTTTGAATTTATTTCCTTCTGTCTCTTCTTCTCTTCTCTGTCTCCTAAACACTTCCCGTAATCTAACATAACTAACCATCCCCCCCTTCCCCTCAATCCCCCTTTATGCCCTTTCCTGATCTAACTGTCTTCATCTGCTAACTTGTTTTTCAACTTATTTTGTTGTGAATTTCTGTGCTTTGTTTCCCTGTTTTGAATTTTTACTAATCTCTTCTCAGTTGTATATTTTCAGGGACCCGGACGAGGGACGACGCCGAAGCAGCCAGCCGCCCAGCCCACAGACGGAGACGACCCCATTGCCCAGCCCTGTCTAGCGGCCAACATTGGCCAAAGCGGTGAGTAACAGGCTGCTTTTGTAGCACTTCTGGATTCCTGTTTTGCATTATAACTTGATCAGAGCAGCTAGGGTGCTCCTTTGACCTCCTGACTTTGTGTGTTTTCAGGAGCGTCGATCCCACTGAGACGTACAGCAGCACTCTGGAGAGCAGGGATCGACTGCCACCGCTCATTGAAGAGAGGGTAAGATTCGGGTCTTAAACCTGTATTAACCGTGTTGATTTTTTTTCTCTCATCTCACTTGAAGCAGATTGTGACCTCTCTTGATGTCTTGTCTTTCTACTGTAGATATGCAGTGTGATGCAGCCCTCTATCCCCAGGGGTGTGAAGAGGAGACTGCCAAGCCAAGGATGGTAAGATGCATTGTGCACGCCTCCCGCTCTGTGGAGTTTCTTCATTTCTACTGTTTTCATTGGTCTAAGCACACTTGTTTGACTACTGCACATTTGCTGTTAACAGGTCCTGGTTTGACTGTTCTGGATCCAGAGTGCGGACTGCGGCCTGCCGGAAGAAGTGCAAAGGGTTCAGGGATACACTGCGGCCAACCCAAGCATTGGAGGTAATGAGACTTGCAGTCTGTATACTCCTTGCACTCTGTGGACTTTTGTTACTCGTTCCTTGTTGCGGGTGTGTTACTCGGGCTTTGACCTGTAGACATCTTTGTTAACAGGTACGGGGGTTGGACTGGTCTGGTTCCGTGGAAGAAGAGCAGACCGTCACCTGCAGGCAGCAGTTGTGTGATGGAGTGGGGTCAATCCCTGACGTGCAGGTAAGACGCAATGTACTCATCTTGCACTGTGTGCACTTTCATTACTGTGTGTTTGTGTTAAGGATATCTTAACTCTGCTGTTTGCACTGGGTGAATTCTTGTAACTCGACGAAGTTGTTTTGATGTCTTGGTTTTGCTTTATTAGCCAAAGAGGAGGTGTCTGCTGACCCGGACGGATCCCAACTGCAGTCAAGTAGAGAAGAGGAGGTAAGATTCACACTCTACTTGTTGCAGCTTTTCATGATCTTTTCCTTGCCAATGGATGTTGATCGTATCAGCCTTTGACCTCTTGACTTCCAATTGACAGGATGCACAGCAAACAGCAGAGCCCAGCAGAAGTCCAGGATCCAATTCCGCAACCAGGAAGCCTAATAGAGAAGCTTTTTGAATTTATTTCCTTCTGTCTCTTCTTCTCTTCTCTGTCTCCTAAACACTTCCCCTAATCTAACATAACTAACCATCCCCCCCTTCCCCTCAATCCCCCTTTATGCCCTTTCCTGATCTAACTGTCTTCATCTGCTAACTTGTTTTTCAACTTATTTTGTTGTGAATTTCTGTGCTTTGTTTCCCTGTTTTGAATTTTTACTAATCTCTTCTCAGTTGTATATTTTCAGGGACCCGGACGAGGGACGACGCCGAAGCAGCCAGCCGCCCAGCCCACAGACGGAGACGACCCCATTGCCCAGCCCTGTCTAGCGGCCAACATTGGCCAAAGCGGTGAGTAACAGGCTGCTTTTGTAGCACTTCTGGATTCCTGTTTTGCATTATAACTTGATCAGAGCAGCTAGGGTGCTCCTTTGACCTCCTGACTTTGTGTGTTTTCAGGAGCGTCGATCCCACTGAGACGTACAGCAGCACTCTGGAGAGCAGGGATCGACTGCCACCGCTCATTGAAGAGAGGGTAAGATTCATGTCTTAAACCTGTATTAACCGTGTTGATTTTTTTTCTCTCATCTCACTTGAAGCAGATTGTGACCTCTCTTGATGTCTTGTCTTTCTACTGTAGATATGCAGTGTGATGCAGCCCTCTATCCCCAGGGGTGTGAAGAGGAGACTGCCAAGCCAAGGATGGTAAGATGCATTGTGCACGCCTCCCGCTCTGTGGAGTTTCTTCATTTCTACTGTTTTCATTGGTCTAAGCACACTTGTTTGACTACACATTTGCTGTTAACAGGTCCTGGTTTGGCTGTTCTGGATCCAGAGTGCGGACTGCGGCCTGCCGGAAGAAGTGCAAAGGGTTCAGGGATACACTGCGGCCAACCCAAGCATTGGAGGTAATGAGACTTGCAGTCTGTATACTCCTTGCACTCTGTGGACTTTTGTTACTCGTTCCTTGTTGCGGGTGTGTTACTCGGGCTTTGACCTGTAGACATCTTTGTTAACAGGTACGGGGGTTGGACTGGTCTGGTTCCGTGGAAGAAGAGCAGACCGTCACCTGCAGGCAGCAGTTGTGTGATGGAGTGGGGTCAATCCCTGACGTGCAGGTAAGACGCAATGTACTCATCTTGCACTGTGTGCACTTTCATTACTGTGTGTTTGTGTTAAGGATATCTTAACTCTGCTGTTTGCACTGGGTGAATTCTTGTAACTCGACGAAGTTGTTTTGATGTCTTGGTTTTGCTTTATTAGCCGAAGAGGAGGTGTCTGCTGACCCGGACGGATCCCAACTGCAGTCAAGTAGAGAAGAGGAGGTAAGATTCACACTCTACTTGTTGCAGCTTTTCATGATCTTTTCCTTGCCAATGGATGTTGATCGTATCAGCCTTTGACCTCTTGACTTCCAATTGACAGGATGCACAGCAAACAGCAGAGCCCAGCAGAGCCCAGCAGAAGTCCAGGATCCAATTCCGCAACCAGGAAGCCTAATAGAGAAGCTTTTTGAATTTATTTCCTTCTGTCTCTTCTTCTCTTCTCTGTCTCCTAAACACTTCCCCTAATCTAACATAACTAACCATCCCCCCCTTCCCCTCAATCCCCCTTTATGCCCTTTCCTGATCTAACTGTCTTCATCTGCTAACTTGTTTTTCAACTTATTTTGTTGTGAATTTCTGTGCTTTGTTTCCCTGTTTTGAATTTTTACTAATCTCTTCTCAGTTGTATATTTTCAGGGACCCGGACGAGGGACGACGCCGAAGCAGCCAGCCGCCCAGCCCACAGACGGAGACGACCCCATTGCCCAGCCCTGTCTAGCGGCCAACATTGGCCAAAGCGGTGAGTAACAGGCTGCTTTTGTAGCACTTCTGGATTCCTGTTTTGCATTATAACTTGATCAGAGCAGCTAGGGTGCTCCTTTGACCTCCTGACTTTGTGTGTTTTCAGGAGCGTCGATCCCACTGAGACGTACAGCAGCACTCTGGAGAGCAGGGATCGACTGCCACCGCTCATTGAAGAGAGGGTAAGATTCATGTCTTAAACCTGTATTAACCGTGTTGATTTTTTTTCTCTCATCTCACTTGAAGCAGATTGTGACCTCTCTTGATGTCTTGTCTTTCTACTGTAGATATGCAGTGTGATGCAGCCCTCTATCCCCAGGGGTGTGAAGAGGAGACTGCCAAGCCAAGGATGGTAAGATGCATTGTGCACGCCTCCCGCTCTGTGGAGTTTCTTCATTTCTACTGTTTTCATTGGTCTAAGCACACTTGTTTGACTACTGCACATTTGCTGTTAACAGGTCCTGGTTTGGCTGTTCTGGATCCAGAGTGCGGACTGCGGCCTGCCGGAAGAAGTGCAAAGGGTTCAGGGATACACTGCGGCCAACCCAAGCATTGGAGGTAATGAGACTTGCAGTCTGTATACTCCTTGCACTCTGTGGACTTTTGTTACTCGTTCCTTGTTGCGGGTGTGTTACTCGGGCTTTGACCTGTAGACATCTTTGTTAACAGGTACGGGGGTTGGACTGGTCTGGTTCCGTGGAAGAAGAGCAGACCGTCACCTGCAGGCAGCAGTTGTGTGATGGAGTGGGGTCAATCCCTGACGTGCAGGTAAGACGCAATGTACTCATCTTGCACTGTGTGCACTTTCATTACTGTGTGTTTGTGTTAAGGATATCTTAACTCTGCTGTTTGCACTGGGTGAATTCTTGTAACTCGACGAAGTTGTTTTGATGTCTTGGTTTTGCTTTATTAGCCGAAGAGGAGGTGTCTGCTGACCCGGACGGATCCCAACTGCAGTCAAGTAGAGAAGAGGAGGTAAGATTCACACTCTACTTGTTGCAGCTTTTCATGATCTTTTCCTTGCCAATGGATGTTGATCGTATCAGCCTTTGACCTCTTGACTTCCAATTGACAGGATGCACAGCAAACAGCAGAGCCCAGCAGAGCCCAGCAGAGCCCAGCAGAAGTCCAGGATCCAATTCCGCAACCAGGAAGCCTAATAGAGAAGCTTTTTGAATTTATTTCCTTCTGTCTCTTCTTCTCTTCTCTGTCTCCTAAACACTTCCCCTAATCTAACATAACTAACCATCCCCCCCCCCCTTCCCCTCAATCCCCCTTTATGCCCTTTCCTGATCTAACTGTCTTCATCTGCTAACTTGTTTTTCAACTTATTTTGTTGTGAATTTCTGTGCTTTGTTTCCCTGTTTTGAATTTTTACTAATCTCTTCTCAGTTGTATATTTTCAGGGACCCGGACGAGGGACGACACCGAAGCAGCCAGCCGCCCAGCCCACAGACGGAGACGACCCCATTGCCCAGCCCTGTCTAGCGGCCAACATTGGCCAAAGCGGTGAGTAACAGGCTGCTTTTGTAGCACTTCTGGATTCCTGTTTTGCATTATAACTTGATCAGAGCAGCTAGGGTGCTCCTTTGACCTCCTGACTTTGTGTGTTTTCAGGAGCGTCGATCCCACTGAGACGTACAGCAGCACTCTGGAGAGCAGGGATCGACTGCCACCGCTCATTGAAGAGAGGGTAAGATTCGGGTCTTAAACCTGTATTAACCGTGTTGATTTTTTTTCTCTCATCTCACTTGAAGCAGATTGTGACCTCTCTTGATGTCTTGTCTTTCTACTGTAGATATGCAGTGTGATGCAGCCCTCTATCCCCAGGGGTGTGAAGAGGAGACTGCCAAGCCAAGGATGGTAAGATGCATTGTGCACGCCTCCCGCTCTGTGGAGTTTCTTCATTTCTACTGTTTTCATTGGTCTAAGCACACTTGTTTGACTACTGCACATTTGCTGTTAACAGGTCCTGGTTTGGCTGTTCTGGATCCAGAGTGCGGACTGCGGCCTGCCGGAAGAAGTGCAAAGGGTTCAGGGATACACTGCGGCCAACCCAAGCATTGGAGGTAATGAGACTTGCAGTCTGTATACTCCTTGCACTCTGTGGACTTTTGTTACTCGTTCCTTGTTGCGGGTGTGTTACTCGGGCTTTGACCTGTAGACATCTTTGTTAACAGGTACGGGGGTTGGACTGGTCTGGTTCCGTGGAAGAAGAGCAGACCGTCACCTGCAGGCAGCAGTTGTGTGATGGAGTGGGGTCAATCCCTGACGTGCAGGTAAGACGCAATGTACTCATCTTGCACTGTGTGCACTTTCATTACTGTGTGTTTGTGTTAAGGATATCTTAACTCTGCTGTTTGCACTGGGTGAATTCTTGTAACTCGACGAAGTTGTTTTGATGTCTTGGTTTTGCTTTATTAGCCGAAGAGGAGGTGTCTGCTGACCCGGACGGATCCCAACTGCAGTCAAGTAGAGAAGAGGAGGTAAGATTCACACTCTACTTGTTGCAGCTTTTCATGATCTTTTCCTTGCCAATGGATGTTGATCGTATCAGCCTTTGACCTCTTGACTTCCAATTGACAGGATGCACAGCAAACAGCAGAGCCCAGCAGAGCCCAGCAGAAGTCCAGGATCCAATTCCGCAACCAGGAAGCCTAATAGAGAAGCTTTTTGAATTTATTTCCTTCTGTCTCTTCTTCTCTTCTCTGTCTCCTAAACACTTCCCCTAATCTAACATAACTAACCATCCCCCCCCCCCTTCCCCTCAATCCCCCTTTATGCCCTTTCCTGATCTAACTGTCTTCATCTGCTAACTTGTTTTTCAACTTATTTTGTTGTGAATTTCTGTGCTTTGTTTCCCTGTTTTGAATTTTTACTAATCTCTTCTCAGTTGTATATTTTCAGGGACCCGGACGAGGGACGACGCCGAAGCAGCCAGCCGCCCAGCCCACAGACGGAGACGACCCCATTGCCCAGCCCTGTCTAGCGGCCAACATTGGCCAAAGCGGTGAGTAACAGGCTGCTTTTGTAGCACTTCTGGATTCCTGTTTTGCATTATAACTTGATCAGAGCAGCTAGGGTGCTCCTTTGACCTCCTGACTTTGTGTGTTTTCAGGAGCGTCGATCCCACTGAGACGTACAGCAGCACTCTGGAGAGCAGGGATCGACTGCCACCGCTCATTGAAGAGAGGGTAAGATTCATGTCTTAAACCTGTATTAACCGTGTTGATTTTTTTTTTTCTCATCTCACTTGAAGCAGATTGTGACCTCTCTTGATGTCTTGTCTTTCTACTGTAGAGATGCAGTGTGATGCAGCCCTCTATCCCCAGGGGTGTGTAGAGGAGACTGCCAACCCTAAGATGGTAAGATACAAACTGAAATAAATATGCTGATGTCAAATGTGATTTTTTTTTTTTTATTACTTTCTATTTTAAGGTTTTGCCAAACTATCAACGTGTCCCAAAATTTATTTTTACAATAGCTCCAAAACTATGTGGTTTATAAAGTTCAATGTTTTACTTTTTAGAAATATATCATTAATTAACAGATAGAAAGTATCACTTGATAACAAATACTTAAAGAATGTATTTATCGAGAAAAATTCTTTTAAAAAAATGCATATATTTTTAAAAAATACACTTACTTAATTCTATACTTTTATTGAAAGCCATCATTGCAGAAACAATATATGTTTATCATTGAAAGGCAAGTTGGACTTCGATAGCCTCTGGAAAGTTGTTTTCCCTGTTGATTTTGTCCAAATGTTAAGATTTGAAACCTAAAATACATTGCAAAATGGCGGATTTTATAGGGGTCTTGTCTTTATACATATCATGCTTTCAATAACCGCCTTTCAGAGACCATTCACGTCCAACTTGCCCTTCAATGATAAACATATATTATTTCTTCAATGATGGTTTTCACTAAAAGTACAGAATTAAGGAGGTGCATTTTTTTAAAATATCCAAATTTTTTAAAATTGTTCTTTCTCAAAAAATATATTTTTTTAAATATTTGTTTTTAAGTGATACTTTCTATCTGTTAATCAATGATATATTTATAAACTGTAAAAGTTTTAACTTTATACCTCACATAGTTTTGGAGCTGTTGTAAAAATAAATTTTTGGGCATGTTGTCCATTGGTAAAACCTTAAGAATTTGATAGATTGTTCGAAAAATTTTAGAGAAAGTTGATGTTGTATCAATCATATGATATGTCACTTGGAAATTAAAGTGAGAATTTATTCGTGGAAACTTCTCATGTAGGCTTATTAAAGCTTGTTTTCATATTTCTTCTGACCCTTTGGTGTGATGTTTAAGAGGGTAATGACTATTTTTATGCATAAATTACACAAAGATTTTTATTAGTGGAAACACTTAATTTTTATGAGAGCTATTCAACTGTGGCATTATTTTCTGACCTTGACTTTCCCTTTGACCTTTGCCTCACTTATACTTATTTTGCATTTACTCTGTTTAAAAAAAAATTTCCATAATAATTTCATCAAAACTTATACACACTTGTATATATGATGTATATTGGTGGGTCTATAAAAACTAGTATGTCATAATTTTCTGACCTTGAGTGTCACTTGATGTTAACCCCACTTAATTTTTTCATTTGATGTAAAATTTTCTTTGTTATATAATAAAAAATAGTTCTAGATATTTTTACCAAACTTCATACAAAGATACAAACAGATAAGACCTTCACAAATGTGTCTTTTTTTTTTTTACCTTGATCCTTTTTAAAAAAACATTCAAGATATTTTTGTCACACTTCATTCAAATTGATTAGAGCTAATCAACTATGTAATTTTTATGCCCTGCCATAAATATGGCTGGGGCATATAGAGTTTGTCATGTCCCTCTTCCATCCTTCTGTCTTTCCATCCTTCTGTCTTTCCATCTGTCCTTTCATCATGCTTTGCATTTAGCTCATTTCAAAGCTAAGTTTCAAAGAAACTGTTCAAGGTATACTTATCAAACTACATATGCTGGTTGATATTGATGAGAGCTATTCAACTGCATCAACAGGTATTGACCTTGACCTTTCCTTTGACCTCACTTCTTTGATTAGTGTTTAGCTCAGTTTAAAAAAAAAACGTTCAAGATAGTGTAATCAAACTTTATTTGCTGATACATACTAAAGTATACTTTTCAACTGCATTATTTTTTTTACCATGATGTTTCCTTTGACCTTGACCTCACTTTTCTTAAATTTGTGTTCAGCAAAATTTTCAAGAAACCATTCATGATAATTTTATCAAACTTCATATGGTAATACATACTGATGTAATATTCAACTTCATCAACATTTATTGACCTCAACCTTTCCTTTGATTTCGACCACACTTTTTTTTTTTTAAATTAGTGTTTAGCTCAGTTTAAATAAACCATTCAATATATTTTTAGCTCACCTCAATGAAGTTGGGGGAGCTTATGTAATACATGTACCATCGGCGTCTGTGTCGGCGTCCCAGGTTATGGTTTTTGGAGCAGTTTTCTTTTCAAGTACTTCTATGGCCTATATTAGTCAGAGATGCATGGAGGATGCTTCTGGTGTGTATTATTGTACCAGTCAAGGTTTCAGATGCTGCAATTTCAGCTAAAGAATGACCAGGTTAATGTTTTTGGAGCAGGTTAAAGTTTTTGGAGCAGGTCTCATTTCCAAGTAACTATAAGCCCTATATTGACCAAACTTGCATGGATGAAACATCTAAGGATGCACACTACTGAACTTGCCTCAGATGCTGGATCTGACCTACATTTTCTGGATGAGTGACTAGGTTAAAGTTTTTGGAGTAGATCTCATTTCCAAGTAACCATAACCCCTATATTGACCAAACTTGCATGGATGATACATCTAAGGATGCACACTACTGGACTTGCTTCAGATGCTGGATCTGACCTATATTTTCTGAATGAGTGACCAGGTTAAGGTTTTTGGAGCAGATGTCATTTCCAAGTAACTATAACCCCTATATTGACCAAACTTGCATGGATGATACATCTAAGGATGCACACTACTGGACTTGCTTCAGATGCTGGATCTGACCTATATTTTATGGATGAGTGACCAGGTTAAAGTTTTTGGAGCAGATGTCATTTCCAAGTAACTCTAAACCCTATATTGACCAAACTTGCATGGATGATACATCTAAGGATGTACACTACTGGACTTGCTTCGGATGCTGGATCTGACCTATATTTTCCAGATGAGTAACCAGGTTAAAGTTTTTGGAGCAGATATCATGTCCAAGTAACTATAACCCCAATATTGACTAAACTTGCATGGATGATACATCTAAGGATGCACACTACTGAACTTGCTTCGGATGCTAGATTTGACTTACATTTTCCGGATGAGTGACCAGGTTAAAGTTTTTGGAGCAGATGTCATTTCCAAGTAACTCTAAACCCTATATTGACCAAACTTGCATGGATGATACATCTAAGGATTCACACTACTGGACTTGCTTCGGATGCTGGATCATGTAAGAATTTCAGACAATGTTGATTTAAAACATCAAAGATGAGTGATAATGTAACTCTGAGATTAATTGATAGCTGGTGCCAATATATTTTCCAGATGAGTAACCAGGTTAAAGTTTTTGGAGCAGATCTCAATAAGTAACTATAAGGCCTATCTGAACCAAACTTGCATGGATGATGCATCAAGGGATGAACAATCTCAAAACTTGCTTCGGATGCTGGATTTGACTTGCATTTTCTGGATGAGTGACTAGTTTTAAGTTTTCAGATAAGTCTATTTCCAAGTAACTACAAGCCCTATCAGACCAAAATTGCATAAATGTTGCATCTAGGGATGCACACTCCTAGATTATTAGTTTAGTGTGGGACTCTGCCTTACTTAAAGACAACATTCGTTGAGGTGAGCTCTGTAATCTCTGATTACCTATGTTTATCAAACTTAATATGCTGATACTTATTTTGGAGAGCTATTCAACTGCATCAAAAACTTTTGACATTGCTTTTCCCTGTGACCTTGACCTCACTTTTCTTTAGTTTGCATTTTGCTTAGTTTTAAAGAAACCATTTGAGGTATTTTTATGTAGGCTTATGCACTTATACATAATTTGGTGAGAAGATATTCTCATTAAATTTCATACACTAATACAAAGAGCTAGGTTCACTTTATGCATAAAATGGCCCTGTCCTTATATCAATTAATTGACTATCACCTTTATCAAACTTTGTATACCGTGGTACATATTGGTGTGAGCTATTCATCTGTGTCTTTTTTTTCCCCTTTGCATGTCTTATGTCCTTGATCTCCCCATTTTTAAAGTAATCTTTAAAAAAAGGTTCATGAAATTTTCATGAAACTTTCTATATTGATAAAATTGGTATGAGCAATTTAAAATATTCAATTTCAATTTTTTATGCCCCTGGATTGAAAGATCCTGGGGATATATTGTTTTTGTCCTGTCTGTCTGTTTGTTTGTCTGTCTGTTGTCAACTTTAACATTGCCCATAACTTTTGATTGTTTTGATTGGTTGGAGCTATGACTTTCATATTTCACATGTACAGTCCCTGAAACGTTCTACTTTCCCACTTGAACGGTGAGCGAACGCTGAACGAACGGTGAACGAACGCTGAACGAACGCAGAGCGAACGGTGAGTGAACGATGTGTGAACGCTGAACGCAACTTGGTGAACGATGTGTGAACGGTGAGCAAACGCAGAATGCGAACGGAGCGCAAACGCGAACGCAAAGTGAACGGTGAACGCAAGGTGAACGATATATTCGGAATGCCTCTGATCTTTTCCTTGCATTGAAACTATTTTATTGTATTATAATGTTAGGTGCCAAAAAAAAAAAAAATAATAATAATAATAATAATAATAAATAAGTAAACCAATAAATGAATGAATAAATAAGTCAATAAAATAAATTCTCCAAAATTGTCCTAAGAAAGACGATGCATGCACATTAAGTTTTTAATCACACGATTTTTATCGCATTAAAACATTGTAATTGT